CTGTTTTTGTTTATGTTTTCAAAATTGAGCAGTTTACCTCTAACGTGTGGTAAGAGAATCCACTGCCAAATTTTATCCCTAATCATATATATTGCCAGAAATGTTTTGTGGCCTTTGATAAATAGATATCTCCATTTATCAAACGCCACAAGATATTATCACGTATTTCATGTACAAAATACTGTTTTTGTTTATGTTTTCAAAATTGAGCAGTTTACCTCTAACGTGTGGTAAGAGAATCCACTGCCAATTTTTATCCCTAATCATATATATTGCCAGAAATGTTTTGTGGCCTTTGATAAATAGTTATCTCCATTTATCAAACGCCACAAGACGTATACGCCGCAGCAGCATTAAATTTAAAGATACGAGACGTCTGCTGACCGATACGACATTGCGATCACTTTATTGCCTGGTAAGCCTGGCAATAACGGCATCCACGAATTTTCTGCCACCAGGGCCATAAAATATTAAACAGATTCCATAGCGGGGGTGTTAATTTGTTCGAAACGTAAAGTTAAATGTTTCTTTCTGTACTATTAGTTACATTTCATATTAATTAGTTTAAAAATAAATGAACCAAATTACAGATTCTCATAAAAGTAGAAAAAAATTAAAAAGAGACAAAACAATGTCTCTTTTATTTATATTAATATAATACTCCAAAAACTGATTAACTTATATTTAAAACTGACTTCTCAATTAAATGACATTGTGTATAAAGTTGTTCAAAAAGTCTATAAATCAATAGCACGCTATAGACTATAAACTGTAAATTTATAGCGCACAAGAAAGCGTGTAGGAGGCCGGCAAGCGCGTTAAATTTTGCAGCACGCTATATCTCGTAGCACGTTACATTACATGTTGTTCATTGGATAGACCGCGTGCTATATAAGACCGTTATTTCGTAATAAGTCGCATTTTAGACGCGAAAAAGAAAGCGGTAAAGAAAAACCAATGAATATACTTTTTCATACTTTTCAGGCTTACGAATTTCTATAATCCTAAAAATATTTTTAAAGCATGGACTTTTTAAAACGAAATAAAATAAATGTATATAATAAATTAAGCTGAGAACAAATTATCGGACGCGTCCGTCAGCCGCGGCTGACAGACGCGGCTTAGCGGTGTGCACGGTAGTCGAGACGGCGTCTTCGGACGCCTCGCTTCGGTCATTCCATAAAGGTTTGTCATTCGAGAAATATGACAAGCAGCGACAGCGAGGATGAATCTATAAAGTTAGCGGCAGCTGTTTTATGTTGTCCTCCTAAAAAAAGTGAAAAGGAGTGCTTGGATCCATGATATTAATGTAAAACGACTCGAGTATGATGAATTTCATACATTGTATCCAGACTTACAAAAAGATGATAAATGTTAAAAAATGTACTTATGAATTTACTTATAAATATAGGCACTCGTGGCCATGAACACATTCAATTAATTTTTTTTTTCATTACACATCATGTCGCGAGCGCAGTTGGTTCGCTTGTGACACTCGGAAACGTCCGCGGACGCGGCCCGGGCCCCGTTCACACTGTCCGCGGACGCACCAAACATCCAGCCGGCCAGATTCTGTTCGGACGTCCGAACGCTCAAAAGCGACGCAAGGTCATGTCCGCGTCTTACGGCCGATAGTTTGCAGTGTAGTATTAAATGTACTGGCTAGATCTCAATAATCAGCCGCGTCCGATAATTTGTTCTCAGCTTAAGCCGCGTCTGTCAGCCGCGGCTGACGGACGCGTCCGATATAGAGATGTGCCCCTCACTCATGAGGTGCCTCGTTTGAGGTACTCGTGATCGCAAATTGAAAGAGTTACTCGATTTTCAACATTGAACCACCTCACTCGTTCACGCGTCCTCACTTAAAAATTGACATAGACATTATTGACACGAGTACTCGCGACTCGCGAGCATCGCGATTGAGTGAGCTTAGCGAGCGAATGAACCGACTTAGAAATCCATATTTACAGTACAGAATAAATTAGAGAATGAGTGAGGTGTGGAATCGAAATTTTGAAAACATTAAACATTATGATTGTATTATGTACTTAATGAAATAATGATGTTTGGTGTGTGTATGTGTGTGTGATACTGATTTTTGGTAGGATGTTATTTAAATTAAGAAGAGATACAAAAAATTGTGTGAAATAAGTTGCAGGGTAAATAAAACACACAAAGCAAATAAACTGAGTGTATTAATTGAGATCAAGGATAAAAAGTAAAAAAATAATCGTATTGGAAAAAACGCGTTTTTCACAATCACAACAATATCAACAATTACTTCACCACACGTGCACCTCCAAGGTCAACATAGGTAAAGTAACATTATTAGTTACTCAAAACGAATTAATAGAGAAAATATTTTTATTTCTGCTATTAATATGAATCTCTAAACGTTAACTATGAACTCTAAAAACATAAGCATTAGATTTTTATTCAAGTGTCATTGATTCGTTTATTTTGGCGGAATTCATGAGCGAAAGAAAATAACGTGTGTGAGGGAGACGTAAAAATCGGAATCGTGAGTACTCGTGAGTCGACGCGCCTCTCTTGCCGCTGCCTCGGACAATCGGCTGAGTTCGATTCGAGCTCGGGCTCGGCTCGTGAGGTGAATTGAATACGCTGACGTACGATACCTCGCCTCAAATGAGGGGTCCCTCGTGAGGACCTCGCGAGGTAAAACGAGGTGCTCCCTCAACCTCATATAAAAATGATGAGTTACCCATCACTAGTCCGATAATTTGTTCTCAGCTTAATTGTGTATAACAAAAAACTTCACTTTAATGTTAACTAGCGACATCTAGTGAGCGGACGATAACTTGAAATAGAAACAGTATTATTTATAATCCATATTGAATAAAAAAATATTCAATATGGATTATAAATAATACTTATTGAAAGTCACTTTTTTTCATTTTTCACTGGTTCGCATAAAAACCTCTGTCCTGGGAAGAACCAGCAACCAACAAAATATATATAAGTATGAAATTTTCTTTTTACAATCATGTATATTAAACTTGACTTTATTAGTCCTCATTCAACAATGGAAGAGGCCCATGCTAAGAAGTAGACTTTAAGGTAATAATTAGAATTTCACCTGTGATAACTGGAGACGCGGAATTAGCAGAGAAGACGACGGCGGCTGAGGTGGCGTTCGCAGCTTGTGCGACCGCGCTCTCGATACTATTGGCGGCGTTGAACAGCAGTCGGCAGAGGTTGCAGCTGCTCGATGATGTTGCTGTACATTTGATTAACCACTTTATCATTAAACAAGGAATTAAACATTTAGGGGTTTCCTCTCAGACCAACCTTAGTACATGGTAAAGCTATGCTGCAGTTATATTACGCTTGTAGGACGAATGGGTCGGCTCGGCCGGGGAAGGACCACGCTCTCACAGAATACCAGCGTTAAATAGCATATGCTGCCTGTAGCTTAATGTGTTTGGTATGACGAGTGATTGAGATTCGAAGATCCTTTTTATTGAATACGAGGTATCCATCTTTAATCTCAGGAGTGACCACGCACTTTGATTCTTAATCAAGGATAGATGTAGATGTCTATGAACCACAGCATCCACTTACCATCAGGTGAATTCTGAGCTTGTTATCGTTATTTGATTTAAACAAAGAAAGATAGACGGAGGGGGTTGCTTCCGTTTAAAATAATGCCATGCTCAACTACTTGACACGCACACATCTTTCTTCTTTCTTTCTTTATCGGATCGTAAATATTCACTGCTGGACACACGCGTATGCACCCAGTACATTTGCACCTGAAACCATGATGGTTGTAAATGATTTCAATTGCATATAGGTGAGTGTGTGATTATAAGAATAATAAGTTGAGCATAGTTCTGGATTGTTTTTTGCGTCACTTAAAATGTACACAGGGCTCTAGGACAGGGTCTTGCCTCTGTTGGTATGAGGGGTTCCCTATAAATCTAAATCGCCAAAAAATTTAAAACAAAACATCTTGCTTTACTCTTTTTAAGCTGAACATAAGTGTAAGATCAGTCATATTTTGAAATACACCCCAGTATTTAAAAATATTACATTAACTAAAGGCTGAAAAATTTAAATGTTTTTAACCTTATTTTACCACTTATGTTTCCTTACATAATAATTTATTCTAATATTTTGTTATCAAAATGGACATATTTATGTTCCTACATAAACACCTGTTTACTTTGTAGTGCTTCTGTTTTAATAATGATTTATTTGAGGACTAACATGAAATGTATCTTTATAAGTTCGTACATTGAAAGCAGCACCTGGATCGTGATGAGAGCAACTCGTCGCTACAGAGAAATGGCTGCGTTTATTAGAGCCGGCAATTTCGTCCATTACACAGCCTTTAAATGCCTCGGGTTTATTCATCTTCACGTCGTGAACATGCACTTTTATATTATTACGCACTAGATAAGGCTTAATTTCTTCAAACCACACGTCACATAGCTGAAATTATAAAAAAAATAAAAACGTTCGATAATACTCCCCAGTAAATAATTTATTAAAAACGTTATAGGGTCTCATGCTCACGCTAACTAATGCATTTTCTAAGTCATAGCGAATATTTTTAGGAATTTTATATCTATCTTTTCTTTCTTTTCGTAAATCATTGCAATTATTTTTTGTTGATTCATTAATGACAGGCGTACGTGGAACAAACTCCTGCAGTAATGTTGAACGCGGCTTCCCAACCCGGGATTGAAACATTTAGTCTATTGTTGTTAATTTTAATTAGCACATTAAAATACAATATTAATAAATAAAATTTATTTAAAAAACTTAGAGTATAAGAAAATATAAAACTATAAGTTTTTTCTTCTAACTGTCAAATTTGTTTTTTATCTACCTTATTTACAAATTTAATTGAATCAAAAAGTTTTGTTGCACATTTTAACTCCTTCGTTTGAATCCACACGAAGATACACGTACCTACTTATTAACCTAGCAGTCTTTCTTCTATCAATAAAATTAATTTTGAATATTTTATAAAGATGAACACACCAAATTGGAAAACTGTGATAAGCACGACTGGATCAACATTGCTACAAGGAATTTCAAAGGTATTATTACCCTTTAAAAAGATAAATAAAGATCTGTCACAAAGTGATTCAATTAATGAAGTTTTGTTTTATGGAGCGGAAGACGACGAAAAGAAACATCAGGTGGGGCTGAACAATCTGTTTTGCATATACTATGTGATAGTTCACGCTAGCCGTTCAGTAGATGTGTGCTTGCCGAGTTTAATTAGTAATACTATCTCCAAGTGTCTTATCACCGTTCGACAGAATAATAGCGCGAATATAAGAGTGGCGATACATAACAGTGACGACCGAGAAAATTTACAAATACTTGCGAAACATGGAATTAGTGTCAAGATTATTAATTCGACGGTGAAGTTAGAACATGAATTCATTTTAGTAGACGCTTATGATGAATGTCAAGATGCGGTAGCCGTTTTTGGGTCTTTAGATTATGAGATGTCCCGAGTAAACTGCAATAGAGATACCACGCTCTTAACGTCTGAACGCATTGTAGTTTTGGCTTTAAAAAAGGAATTTGATAGAGTCTGGAGTACTAACGGGGACGTTATGGAATGCGAGAGTGACGACGAAAAAATCCAATAAATTCTCGTTATCTACTAGTATTCATTTGATATTTGAATTAAAATCTTGTTATTGTAATGAATAATTTTATCATGAAACTTGTGTTAATTGAAATAAAAGTCTTGAAGTAACAAAAATATCTAAATTTTATTTCTTCTCCTTGGATTTAACAATACAATTATTGTTAGCAAATTATTTTATTACAAAATTACATTTACCATGAAAGATACACATATTATACATTCCTACACAACTATTTGTACTTAAGTGCTTTTTGTTAATCTATCTTATAAATAAAAAGCGAACAAGACAATTTTAAAAAAATTATTTCATTTATTTCAGCAGCCAGTTTTTATGAGGTTCTCTAGTTTGTATTATTTGAAGTTTGAGATTTTTTAAATTAATTTTTATGTTCACGAAAATCATGTTCGTTAAAGTTTAATGTTTGGCGTCAGTCGAAGTCTGTGAGATTCCAAACTACATTAAAATATCAAAAGAGGAATTTTAAAATTCCCTAATTTTAAAATACTTTTCAAGTAAATCATCTACCTACTAGTTTTTTTTTTAAAATATCGCATTCATCTTTTGAAATGTATAAAAAAGGAGATATTATTTTGAAATGCTAAACATGCTAAAATTTTCAAAATAACTACATTTTAAGTAATTGAGTACTAAAAAAGTTAAATTTATAATCAATACTCCAAATAAAATATAATAAATATTACTTATGCAAATATTTTGTGTAACATGCCGATTTATATCAAAGCTAATTATAATGAATGTTTAGAACATTTTAATGCTGAATATACACTAGAAAAGACGCCACAGAATAAGGTCAACCTAATTCGCTGATTTGAATAAAATTGATTAATATTCTGATGAATATATTGTCTGCACACTAAATATAGTTACTTAATTTCTATATCGTTACAATCACAGTGTAAACATAAGCAGTCATATTTTATATTTACATTACGTTTAAATTATTAAACAATTATTTACATTTTCTTACACTTAATTAAACTAATTTCCTTAACCTTAAAACCTACCAAATCAAACTTTGTGATCTAGTATTTGCTTAAATATCGTAATGTGAAGTAAAATTAATGCAAATAAGTCAAACTAATAAAATATGTAAAAAACCAATTATATGTTCCTCAAGTTTGTAACAATCATGAAATACTTTAGAGCTAAAATGTCGCAGAATAAAATTATACTTGTTTTCCACATCCAATAAACCAGAACTCGTACTGCTATATGCGGGTTTGAAAATGTGTCCTAGCATTGTTTTCCTTCAGTGTTTACCTGCTTAATTAACCCGTCAATTGGGGGTATTCCAAGTCATACTGGTAAGACTAATTTGAATTTCCTAATGGGAACTTCCCCAGTCTTACTAGTAATACTAGTAATAGTAATAATAGTAATACTAGTAATAGTAATAATAGTAATACTAGTAATACTATTGGACATCTTCGTGGCGTGTTGAAATCCCAGTAGTCTTACCAAATAATGTTATTCGTAAAACTAATGGGATTTTTTTACCAAGCACAAGTAAATAGTAAGACCACTAGAGTAGAATACCCCGTCAATTGCAATTACAATATTGAGCATTGACGGCACCGGGAATGAAATTGAGGTTTTATAGTTTGTCATACTCTGTCATATCCTAGGACAATCTAGGATCCTAGGATTTTTCATGATTCGCCCAACAGATTGCGATAAAGCAATGTATTCACAAGAAGTTGTAAACGTTGGTAAACATAAACAACAGTACATTTTCGTATGTCACATTAATTTTCCTAATTGAATAAAATTTAGAATAGGTTAAAATTATAGTTTATGTAAGTCCCACTTTTAAGCACAAGCCTCCATTTCTGAGAGCGCTTTAGGACGAGCAAGTGCCCACCGCACTGCCCCAATGCGTATTGACCGACTTGTGATGTCTTCGAAATACATATTTATTTTTATTTCTCAGACACAGATTTCCTCGTGATGTTTTCTTTCACCGCCGAAAAAGTGGTAAATAGTCGGTATTTGCAATTAAAAGTTTCATTGGTGCCGACGGGGATCGAAACCGATTGCTCGCGTCTTGCAAAATTAACAGGCATCGAAATGAGTATAAATACCTAACAAATTAAAAATGCTTGTGATATGTTTGTTAAACATACTTTAAATTTATGAAGTACATTTATAAGCAATTAGATTATCATGCTATACGAATAAATAATGAAATATTTCATTGTTTTGTATTACAATTCATAATAATACCTATGGTGCAAAAACATAAGCATGATTTTAAATTTTTAAAAATGTCACACTATTTCTATAACTTACTTAGTACTCACAAATGATTTACTTACATCTAAATAAGTTATTAACAAATTACCATACGATAAAAGCACGAACATTTCCCGTTGGTGTTTTCATTACTATATTAATTACTTAATTACAAATAATTGCACGTAATGGCATACTTTTCCGCACATATATCCTTTTTATATAACCAAATACTATCAATTAATGGAATAATCAACAGTTTGATACTACACACAAGCAATGTTGTTAATGATACAAATATTTTCTTTGCAATGACTTTGTGTGCAAGGAAAAGACAGTTCAGGTATTGCCTTTCAAAGATAACACAATGATTAAAGAGTTAAAAGACTTAACGTAAGCTATAGTAGCGTAATAGTGTGTTCTAGAAACCACCGAAAATCGACGCTGTTGACAAAACTTTCAAGCATTCTTGAGTCGCAGTTGCCATATTCTAAAAAGGTATAGCCGTAAATCAAAAAGTCTGACAAAGTAGAAAAACCAAATTATAACCACATGTTACCTTTCTTCAATCGTTTGATTACTATTCTTCGAAACTTTATTGGTTAAGAAAATGTTGCGACTGTATAATCTAAATTCATTTAGTTTAACGACCACAAAAATCCCAAACAATACAAAATAATAAAACAAAATACGAATTTAAGCAAAATATAATACTTCCATCACAATTCTAACAGGAATGAATAGAATAAAAGAATAACTTTTAATAAAAGGTTAAAACCGACTTCAAAACACTAAATAGTATTTATTTGAACTATTATTTATTCTGTGATAAAATTAAAAATTATTTCGTATTCAGAAGTGGATACTAAGACATATTAAATAGAATAAATAAAGGTCCGACTTCAGAATGTGACATTACTTTATATTTATTACAGAATTTGCATGTCCCAAGAATATTATACTTAACATATACAATACAACCAATTGACGCCCCGTAGGGGCTACGTAGTAACATTATTTAATCTGTGGTAGAGGCATTGTAATTTAAAAAGTTATCTGTCGTCCGTTCTTACTTCTTTTTAAAGTTAATTATTTTTATGTTTTGAGTGGGCTTATCAGGAATATCACAATCTCAGTGTCGTCTAGTTCCATTACAAACTTATTTCTTTATTTTGTCAACCCTAAGGGGTGGAATGTTTTCTCCAAATTTATATGGGACCACCCCTATTTAGTAAAAAAGAATAATGGCAATCCGTTCAAAATTGACGAACATATAGCGTAACAACATATTTGCAGGCCAGGGCAGTACCTGTATACCAGCCTCCTCTAGGGCTTCTCTGGTGGCCCTAGCTGTATGAGCGCGAGCATTATCGTCCATCAGATGGAATCTTGCTCCGATTTTCTGTGCATATGAGACCACATGGGGTCTAATGACCTCTTCGATATAACGTTGAGCTGTAATTGTGCCTTCGTTGAGAATTACCAACTCGGTTCTACCTGATATAGAGATTCCTCCCCACACCATAACATTGGGGCCCCCAAATCCATCACTTTCATGAATACAAGCATCCGAAAATCGCTCACCTTCACGCCTTCAAACCCTAATGCGACGGTAATCACTAAAAAAATTAACTTTGCACTCATCCGTAAACAGTACTGTGCTCTAATCACTCATATCCCATGCCAGATGCTGCCTTGCGAACGATAATCGGTTTGCACGATGGGCACTTGTTAATGGTATCCGCACTACGCGTATCCTGGAGAACTGCTGGTCCTCGTGTAACCGATTTCTAATCGTTTGATCACTGACGCGTGTACCCGTCGCCTGCCGCAAACGGTTTTGTAAGGAGCGGGCAGTGATGCAGCGTTCTCTGCGCGCAGTCAAGCGCACGTAGCGATCCTGTGCAGTAGTTGCTCGATTTCTGCCAGATCCCCGTCTCCTGGTTAGTCTTCCAGACTCTTGAAATCGATACCAAGCATTCTGGATCGCTCGCCGGGATAAACCTAGCTGCAACGCCACAGAACGCTGCGAATGACCTTCTTGAAACAATGTTACGGCCCTAGTTACAGTTGGTGAGTCCATATGTCGTCGAATTCTCGGCATAACTTTTTTCAAATGTTAATTCAGCCACTAGTTAAACAAAACTTAAACCGTACTTGACAGAATCGTCACTTTGACTGAGTTAAAATCTGTCTTAAAATCGGGTAGAATCAAGTGGTTACAATAAATTATTAAAAACTACCCACTTTAAACAATTATTAACCTGGAAACTCAAAAAATGTTTGTAAACAAATAAGGTAACACCACAATAAACAATCAGCTACTTGAGAATGCATAAAATATGAATTCTCGCTACCGACGTAAAAAATAACAAGTGGCCCTTATTTTGTTTTGACTAGTATATGTATAAGAATGGGTGGGCTCAATCGGGGAGGGACTACGCTCTCACAGAATACCAGCGTCAAATAGTAGCTTAACGCTGCTGTGTTTTGTATGGTGAGTGTAGAGAACTGGAGATCTTTTTTACTGGAAACGAGGCATTCCACCTAAGTCCTCACGGGTGACAACGCATCTGCATTTTGATTCGTAATCGAAGATAGATGGGCCACAGCAACCACTTAACATCAGGTGGATTGTGTGCTCATTTGTCACCCTATCCTATAAAAAAACTTAGGACAAAATATCCGACTAGGTAAGTCCAACTCCTATTGAGAAGTCAATCGACGGATGACCCGTAGGGCAA